ACAGCCATTTCCTGTTTATTATCCACTTGTGTAGAGCTGGTTTCAGAGTAACTACTCTAAAAATTATTTTAAAGTTTTCCCAGTAAAAAGCACATTTCAAAGTGTTGATTAATAAATATACAAAAATGTAGTTTTACTGCATAAAAAATAGATGATAAGCTAAATTTAATTACCAATTTATAACTTAACCTAGGTAATTAGAAATTAATTAAGAGCTAAGTCACAAAATGGGCTAATTATTGAGATATTACCAATGAAAAAAGTCATTGATATTTGTTTACATTTGATAATTAAATGAAAATTTCAAATTATTTGAATGTTAAGCATCATGGTTTCCTCATTCAAAGATCTATTGCCACTTATTTTTATAATTAAGAACCATCATTTATTTAACATCCTAAAATTCATTATATATCACAGATTAAAAATGTGTGTCTTCATGGAATACTTGTCTAACATTTCATCTTAATTTAACAAATTTATATATGCTTTACATACTCGTACATGTATTATGACATTTTCAATTACAGTGTACTTTCAGCCACTCAATTTTAGTTTTAACTCCATTCACTAGAAATGGTACTTTTTCAAACTGAGAACTGATATTGTTTGTGAAATATAATGATTATAAGAACACATATAAAATCAAATGAGGAATATCCAGCTGTGTCATCGATATTGCATCTTAATAGTATAATGCATCTGAGCCCTTTGTTACATTCCTTAAAAAACTTTTATTATTTAGATATGTGCACAATCATATGAAATAACAATTTAATCCAGAATGACCAAATATCTTCAGTATTACTGATAAAGAAAAAAAGTAGAAATTCTAATATTGTAAAAAGACTAGTCTTCATTTTCATGGGCTTCCATGTTAAACACATCCAGTCGTACATGTATATGCATGTACTTGAATGTGTGTTCTCTTAAATGGCCATAACTTTTCAATAGAATTTGGCAACTATGGTTTTGTTTTTCTTGTAAAAGCATAAACTTTCCAAAATCCATCATCATGTTATACACAGTCTCTCGTACTGGTGTGTTCTCGTAAACGACCATAACTTTTTTTACTTTTTTTGTTTGGCATATTTGGTGTATTTTATCTTGTAAAAGGATGGACTTTCTAAATCTAAAATTTTAATGATATTAAAATTGTAAAATGACTGTAAAAAAACTATTCATAGGGAGAATCCATCATCATGTTATACTCTGTCAATCGTACTAGTGTGTTCTCTTGAATGGTCATAACTTTTTTATTTCTCAATGAAATTTTGCCAATTTGATATTATTTTGCTCACAATAGCATGTACTTTTTAAATAAAAAATGATGAATTGTAAGAGGACTGAAATTATCATACAGAAAATCCATCATCATGTCATATTATTACTCCATTAACCGTACTAGTGGGTTCCCTTGAATGATTATAACTTTTTTATCTCTCAATGAAATTTTGCCAATTTGATATTATTTTGCTCACAATAGCATGTACTTTTTAAATAAAAAATAATAAATTGTAAGAGGACTGAAATTTTCATAGGGAGAATCCATCATCATGTCATATTACTCCATTAACCATACTAGTGTGTTCTCTTGAATGACCATAACTTTTTTATTTCTTAATGAAATTTTGCCAATTTGATATTATTTTGCTTACAATAGCATATACTTTTTAAATGTAAATTAAATGATAAATTGTAAGAGGACTGAAATTATCATAGGGAGAATCCATCATCATGTCATATTACTCCATTAACCGTACTAGTGTGTTCCCTTGATTGACCATAACTTTTTTTATTTCTCCATAAAAATTTGGCAATTTAATATTATTTTGCTCACAATAGCATGTACTTTTTAAATAAAAAATGATAAATTGTAAGAGGACTGAAATTTTCATAGGGAGAATCCATCATCATGTCATATTACTCCATTAACCGTACTAGTGTGTTCTCTTGAATGACCATAACTTTTTCATTTCTCAATGAATTTTTGCCAATTTGATATTATTTTGCTCACAATAGCATGTACTTCTTTACTGTAAAATGATAAATTGTAAGAGGACTGAAATTGTCATAGGGAGAATCCATCATCATGTCATATTATTCCATTAACTGTACTAGTGTGTTCTCTTGAATGATTATAACTTTTTACTTCTCAATGAAATTTTGCAAATTTGATATTATTTTGCTCACAATAGCATGTACTTTTTAAATATAAAATGATAAATTGTAAGAGGACTGAAATTCTCAAAGGGAGAATCCATCATCATGTCATATTACTCCATTAACCGTACTAGTGTGTTCTCTTGAATGACCATAACTTTTTTATTTCTCAATGAAATTTTGCCAACTTGATATTATTTTGCTCACAGTAGCATGTACTTCTTTACTGTAAAATGATAAATTGTAAGAGGACTGAAATTCTCAAAGGGAGAATCCATCATCATGTCATATATTACTCCATTAATCATACTTGCTTTATATTACTTTTCAATGAAATTAACCAGTTTTGAATATAGACTTTCTTGTAATAGCATGCACTTAGTAAATCTAACATAATAAATGAATTTGTGTTAATTTTTTTTTAACATTTAAGGAAATAGGAGACTTTTTTCTAATACACAAGGCAAGGTTTAAAAATTTAAATAAATTATAGAAGAAAAGGAGGAGTTTTAGCTGCCATATAAATACAAACATTTATTATTAATATTTGATAAATATTAGGTTTTAATCAGTCAGGTACAATGTACCTGCATACATTTTGTATGAATTTATTATTAAACTTCACCATGGTGGGAGATTTTTAAAGCAGGATAAATACTACTCCCCCACCATGGTGAAGTTTAATAATAAATTCATACAATATGTATGAAAAAAAATTTAATTGGACCAAATTAGGAGCATTTCATATTTAGCGTGTGTCGCAGATTAAAGAAACTGCCTTGATTGTGTTGATTGAACAGTACATTGTTTAAATTCCTAATAAGAGAAGCACGGTTGATTTAAAATGCTAAGCCCACTAGAGTATAATTTATAAAAAAAAAAAAAAAAAAATAAAAAAAAAACACTTCTCTTTGTCATTATTTTATTTTTTCCTAGATTATACATTTTTCATATAAAATAATTCCTAACAATTGTAAATAAAACGTTGTGTATGAGTGGACTTCTGGTTAGTGTACGAGTGGACTTTTTGTGTACGAGTCGGTTTGTGTACGAGTTGACTGGACACCGAAAAAACAGAGATGCAAGAACTCGGAAAGGAGATGTTGATCTAAGATCTTTGCTGAAAGGATTAATTCACGTACATTTAAATCAATTTAGCCTCGTTCTATTTTATTGAGATATTGGTTTAATATGCTTGAATTAGTCCATTTTCACCTCAATGCAAATCGAACTCGGAAGTGCATGAGTAACTGTTTACTGTTTAGTTAGGCCTATTTATCAACGGGAACAGAGGTAGAAATAGTATAACAAGTGTAAATTAATCATCTTGTGTTGTGCAAAAACGAATGTTAGGAATGCTTTATATCATGCGATGCTTTGACAAATAGGCCTACACATCGGACATTACCACAATAAACAAAATGATAAGTAGGCTAGATGAGTGTATTTAAAATAATATGAATTATAATAGGCAAGTATGCTTATACATTTTGGTAACTATCCTATTCACCTGTAATTTAATAGTTAATTTAATAAAAGAATTAAGTTAAACATGGCCAAAATTAAAAAGTGAATATCTTGATTCATTAATTACTCTTGTTACAGTTAGAAGTACTAAATCATCATAAATATAAACATGATAGCCATTGATAGGCCTAATAGATAATTCATAAATTTTTCATGTACTAACATGACTAATTGGCTTAGCATCATAATCTTTAATGTCAGTTGATGCATCTTTGGACCTCGGAGTATGTCGACTTAAATGCAGGTGACTCTGACCTGTCTTTGGAATGTTATAGCTGTGTTTAAATAATTTCAGTTACTAATTTGCCTAGGCATCAAACATTCTTGGTTGATGCATCTTGGGTTCTTTAAGTATGTGGAAAGAAAAGTAGATCACTGTGACCTGATTAAGTATTTTCTCAGGTTCTATAAGCTATTTGGATTAAAATCATTTAATTCTGTCAGTTGATGCATCTTGGACCTCAAAGTATGTCAATTGAAAAGTAGGTCACTGTGAGCTACAAAATTATATGGTAATACAATTAAATATTTTAGGTATTAATAAGTGTAGAATCATCAATCATTGTAATTTGTTGAAACTTGGGTCCTCAGAGAATGTCAACTGAATAGAAGGTCAACATGGCCTACTTTTGAAATTTTATGGCTTATCAGGTGATTCAAGACCCTTGGGTCTCTAATTCTTCATACATTCATCTATAATTTGATAACATTTAGAATGCTAACTTGGTTTTGGTTATGCCTTATGGGATTTATCCCACATCTGAATGTTTATGGGAGTAAATGTCCCACATATCATGTTCTATGGGATTTATCCCATATTTGACCATTCATGGGAGAAAAAATCCCATTTGTAGGTATCCGTAGGATTTATCCCATTTGAACAATTCTGTGGGAGAAAAAATCCTAATGGGAGAAAAAATCCCATTTGAGATTTTTTCTCCCATCTGACATTTTTTCTCCCATGGGAGAATGGTGGGATAGTTGGTGGGACTGAAAATCCCATGGGATTCTGATATTTAGGACTTCATATCTTTTAAAGTAGAGATGTCTATGAGTTCAACATGAGAATATGTGATACTGCTAAGAAATCCCACCATGTGCTATAAAATTTTTATAGACATGACAATTAGAAATGGTAGTAAAAAGTCCGGACTATGTCGTGTCCGGAGTTAAATGTCGCACTATTAAGTTATATAATTGTATAAAATGTCATATATTTCCATATATAGACGTTTGTAAACTTAACAAAATCATTGTATGATAACGTCATATATTTTTATATAATTGTCTTCTCTATGCTTTTTATGCAGGCAAAGACTGCAGCAGCTAACGGAGATGTAGTAGAAGCACAAGCGCAGTCGAGACGCGTACGAATGCTTGTCGGCGTTTCCGTTGTTATTGGACTTTTCATCATAGGATTCTCTATACTTCAAATCGTGATTTCAAATCGTCATTGAAGAGTTTTTCGGCAAGCATACTATAGAATAAGATACGTCCAGAAAAAGAAACTTTCATAACCGGAGTGTGTATTTAAGTGAATAATCAAGAGGAATTTGTCTGCCATATATTTTTTTATATCTGTTATATTTGACCGCTTCTGTACAAGGTGTTCACTTTTCTGTGAAATCAGATCCTACCTGTGTAAATAAACAAATGGTGCATAACTTTTTGTTAAACACTCGATAGCGACCAAAATAACTTTACACATTGTGTGGAAAGAAGGAAAAAATATTTACCCAAATAATTTACAAGAGTTGCAAAAGTCATTACAGAATACAAACACTAGTGCAGGTAAAGTGTAGATAAATAAAAAAATAAAGGTAACGTTAAAGAACTTTCACAAACACGGGGTTTTTTCCACACCGGTGCAAGTGACAAAAACCCAGATGCGATGAATGTGAAGGATATCTATCCAGGCTGAAATCAGATATTTAAAATTTAATTAGACGTATGCTTATTTAAATCAACAAGTCGCGTGTAGCTTCATTGTGACTTTATATACTGATTTTGTGTTTTATCTTATCAAGGTACAAATCATGCGTTTGAGTAAAATATTTACACGAGAATAACTTTAAAGTAAATCTTCAGTAATACATTAATTTTCTACCTATTTTCATTATCTACAAACAGATTGCTGTTAATTTTAAAACCATATTTATATGTTTACACTATTGAAACACCGAATTAATCGCTTTTATAACTAAAAGACCTATGCACTGCTAGAATTTATTTTTGTATTAAAATTTTTTGTCATTGATAATATACGGTGCAGTATTCTTAAATTTGCTGACCTAGATACATACTGAAAATACAGATGATTTTTTCTTAACTGATGGAGGATCATGATTTACTTGAATGTACATTTACACTACATGTGCTTTGGTTTACTGTAAACCATTATTCACGACGAATTTATTTCATTTTTACGATCAAGCCTTTTGTATCTGTCATTGATAAAAAAAAGAGACTTTTAGGGTTGGTTGGCGGCGAGAAATGTTCTCAAAGTCGAGACTCTCGCACGCGAACAATAGTTGGTTTACAGTATTTGAAATCCTTAAATTTTCATTTTAACTTCATTTTCTTTCCTGTCTGTATTTATAAACCACTTTGATATGCTTTGTCTACTTTCTTAAATTCAATATCGACATATTTTATACCTAATTAACTGAATGAAAACGATGTATTTTGAATTTTTTTAAATAAAAAATCCAAATAATACGCAATTTTTGTTTTCATTATTGTCTAAAATCCAACATATAATTGATGCCAAGATCTAAGAAGTACACTAGGATACCAGTATTTTTTGTTTGGCATCTTCTGTCAGTATCATCAGACATACGCAGGGTGGATTTCCTTACTTCTAAAATTTGTTGACATCATATCGTCAACCTGCACAGCCCCTTCATGAAGATGGTATCAAGGCCAAGTATATTTATCAAGATTCATGGAGCCTTTTTCGGTTTTTACCATCAGACAATAGCACAGGATGAAAAGCCAGGTTTCCCAAATTTGGAAACCCGATGGAAACATATGGGAATCGTGACATCAGTAGTTTCCATATAGTTTCCATTTTATGGAAACCACATAGTGGTTTCCACATAGATTCCCGACATGGAAACAATCAACCTGTGGTTTCCCGCAAGTTTCCCAAGATAGGAAACCATGGAAACATACCCCGGTGGTTTCCTCATAGATTCCCGACATGGAAACAATCAACCTATGGTTTCCCGTAAGTTTCCCAAGATAGGAAACCATGGAAACATGCCCCGGTGGTTTCCATGTAGATTCCCGATATGGAAACAACCAACCTGTGGTTTCCCGTAAGTTTCCCAAGATAGGAAACCATGTAAACATGCCTCAGTGGTTTCCATACAGATTCCCGACATGGAAGCCACCAATGTGTAGTTTTCCCTATGTTTCCCAAGCAGGGAAACTTTGAAAGTATATCTTAATACTAACCCACCTACCTTTTATTTTACAAAAAGTTAAATATTCAATTATGTTACCATATTTTTACCAATTATAGAAATATTTCAATAGTGTTTACATGCTGTAATTAACTTCAAACAGTTAAAATAACTAGATGAATGTGTATTTCTGTGTGATTAATTTAATATTTCAGCACCGTGAACGCAATTCAATTTTAATCTAATTTTATTTAACTGAATTTTATTTAATTTAATTTAATTTTGAATTTGATTTATCACATAAGTTTTGGTAAATTCGTATAGAATGCGTGAGGTGGAATAGAAAAAAGTAAGTGCATGCAGTTATGTAGAAATCAATCATTTCCGATCCCACTTTCTTGAAGCTGTCTATGATGAATGTTCCTTTGAAAAAATGGAATTCGAAGAGCTAAGGAAGGGTACATTTAATGAAATTATTTACAGAAAAGGTTTACTAAAAAGATCGATTAAAAAGTAAATAAAGAAATGTGTCAAGTTACGATTACTGATTAAGGACAGGTGAGACGTTCCTCAATAAAATAATTAATTTTTTTTTCCAATATTTTGCAACTGACATTAAAGAATTATTTTACATAATTACATGTATTCACAAGACATCAAGGTACCTTACCAGGCATTTGTGTTAGATACCATAGATACCAGAGGTTGGCATTTCTTATATACCGGTAATTCGTCAGGAAAAAAATTACTTCAGTTGGTTTGTCAAAATTACATTTTTAGTGTTTCAAGTTTTTAAATACAAGTTTAGAAAGTGAAAAAGATTTTGTTTTAATATTATTAATTAATATTTTAATATAAACTGGTCAGATAAGAATCATTCATCGAATTGGCTGGGGGCTGAGTATTATCATACTAGTTTTTTACTATTAATAGTGAATATTGTTTTTTTTTTAATTCATTAAATTATTATTTTTATTATTGGGGATAGGTGGGTTGCATTCATTTTTTCCTTGAAAAGCCCCCCCCCCCCCCCCCAAAAAAAAAAAACGCTTTTGAAAAAGTCACTATGGTCGGCCTGTGTAATTAGGGACACCTGTCCTCACGTGCCATTTCAGGTGGAGACACGTGCCGCGAAGACACCTGTCACTGTGTATTTTTTGTATATTCTATGTGAATTGAGACGGTTTTGTACCTAAAGGGAACAATGGGCTGTTGTCGAGCATGTACACACACTGTCTCAGACCGAAAATTCTTTTAAATTAAGATGATGATTCGTGTTTTTTTTATCATTTAAAAAATTGTATATTTCACAAAAAAAAGTTATACAAGAGAACATATTTATAAAATAACCTTCATTTAAGAAGTTCAATGCAAGAACAAACTATTTAGAATTTTTATTTCAATTTTCATTACTGATTTAAAATAAAACTATCCTCTTTAGAAATTAAATAATTTTCTATAGGTATTGAATAGATCTTAATTCTCGTCGTGTATAATTATATTAAATCAGAATGACGTTAATAGATCAATGTGAAATCAAACTGTATTTAATATTGTTGATGGGTTTTTGTGTGAAATTTGTAATCTAACGCACTACAAAGACATTAATTTTATTAGATAAATGTTTATAATATAATTCATCACATAAAACGTTTTTTTTCCTCCATTTTTTGTTTAAATATGTACGCAGATCCCCGTGTAGTAAACGCCTGCACTTTTCGCATGAAATTATAATGTAGGGTCCTAAATGCACATGCATTATATTTAACAAACTTTAAAATTTTCAGGCATTTTTTTTTCTCCAAAGGCCATTGCTCTAGATAAAGAAAAGTCTATAATATTTTGCATGATTTTTTTCCTTAAGAACAATGGCTTTTAAAATAGTGCATGCAAAGGCAATCTATTAAAAGAATTAATTGTATAATTAATTCATTGTACAATTGTCACGATAGTATTTTTGTGCAGTTTTTGTTGATTTCATTCTATAAAGGTATGAAGTTTGTCAATACTTCAACAAACATTTCTTTATCTATGTTGTACACTACTTTATTTTTATTCGCCGACATGCTACTCTTTAAAAAAAAAAAACTTGCGTGACTAATAGACTCGATCTTCAGGCCTGTATAGGAAACTAAGTAATTTCAGTTAGAGTAATAAACTAAACGGGATTTTAATTTTACTAGCATACCTTACCAGATTTCTTAACGAAAAAAAAAAAAACATTGAAAGAAATACAGGGCAGGACCAGCTAAAGCTGTATGCATAAGTACAGCCCTGCACATCAACGAGTATAGATGACTTTCGACAAATCTTTCCCATGACTTCACTTATACCAATCACGACTAAAATACTATATCAAAATACTGTTATATTTTCCTGCCTTTGATTAGATGTTAGTTTTGTTCCACCTAGAGATATAACTTTCCTAGATATAACTCTCCTAAGAAAAAGGTTTTCAACATTCTGATTCATTTAACAATTTTACGTGTTAAAATGATGTGGGAAATTTTTTTAGCTAAAGGCCAAGGAGTTTAAAGTACAATGTACATGTAGCAATTAGAGAAAAGTCTAGCAGGTCCACCAGTAATATTGATAGCAGGCTCAAAATCTAATTAAACCCCGAAAAGGAGGGAGTTCAATTAGTAATTTAATCCCCCCCCCCCCAAAAAAAACACAACAATTTATTAGCAATGAATTATTAAACACCGAACTTTTCAATCATCACTATTGAAATAAAAAAAACTGTTCTTGATAATCATATTATAATTGTAGCTCATTTTCATGCCTTTTAGGATTCCTGTGGAAAGTTCACAATAAAAAAATGTGCTTTTAAAAATTTAACATCTTTTGGTGTGACATTATAAATTCATAATCATACATGTAACAGTTAAAAGAAGCGGGGAGAGGGGGGGGTACTTTCAGCAAGGACGGCCACTACCAACAACCATAAAGGGGAAAAGGGGAAAACTTAATTAAATTCTAATATAAGATCTCTTAATCACACTTAATCATAATAGTGAATGTAAACAGTTTATATTTCCCATCCTGCATCGCTCTGTAGGCGCTTTATTTCATTGGTCAATTTCCCGAGGCGCCATTTTTGGCGCTGATACTAAAACAAGTCCCACGGAGAAAATAAGTCCCACATGAGTCCTACGTGAGTCCCACAGCAAAAGAGCCAATAAATACATATAATAAAGGGTCATTTTGAAAGAATATTACATTTATATGATCATATATCAAAAAAAGTTTTGATAAAATGTTTTAAGTGTGTTAAATAGACGATTGTAAATTCAGACCACAGTCAAGAGCGATAACTCTGTTCAAATGTAAACAATAGCCAAGAACTATATTGACAATGTTTAAGTACTGCTGATAGCTAACTTTTTTTTCTAAAAAAAAAAAAATAGATATTTGTAAAAATATATTTTAATAAGTAAGTTAATTTAATATGGTGCTATTTCTGAATTTAATTTGTTCTTCTGTTTTACTTGAATTTTTAAGTTTCGTTTGAAAATATTCTTCCAATTATATCAAATACAACTCAAAGTAAGTTTTATTTTATTATAATGATTTTATATTATTACTTTGTTTCTTACAAACTAAAATAGTTTTACTGTGGTTTTATGTAATTTAACAACAACTTGGTAAGTTTTCCTGACACCCAATGTTTATTGTGTATATACACAGACACAGACTGTACATTGAGAAGAGATATGTCCCTGGTATACCTGTATACAACACCTGGGGGATGTTATTCACACCTTTCAATCTCCCTGTTGTTTGTACACCTATATTACAATAACGTTTGAACAAGGCTTGGGCTAGGTTACACCATTTGGAATTCAAATAAAATAGTAAATTAAATGTAGAATTATTGAAATTTCAGCTACTATTATGTATGACAAATAAGGTCATTAATCAAAAATTTTCGTATTTGATTTCATAAATAAAAACATTCCTTGAAAATTAAATTAATAAAGAATTCTGATTTAGAATAGACTAAGTCAGCATAAACTGTATTCACTATTGTAAATTCTTGACTTGTATGAAAAGATTCCAAATAATAGTATTAAAGGCACAACCATTGAAGTTTTGTATTAATTTGTAGAACAAATACCATGCAGAGAAGTAACTGTTATCTGTCCATTTTCTCTATTTAAAAATGTGTTTATTATTCATCATGTAAATAAAGATAAAAATTTAGATTACTATACAAATGTTAAAGCCAGTTTACTCCTGGATATGGAACTTGTCAAAAAAGAGTATTTTTAAAAATAAACTTGGAATTTTATA